GATAAGCAATGAAATTTTCGATGTGTTGTACAAAAAGTGGACCTGTAGCACCCTCATGTGTTCCAGGTACATGACAGTACAGTGACATTCGAATGAGACTGAAACCTGTGGTACAATGTCTTGCAATCAAAGACGCATGAGAACAGGAAAGCATAAGGTTTGGGGTGTTGCTGGAAGCTTCTGTGTTCAGTATAGAAGTTGAAAGCAGCATCTTGATTCTGACTCGAGACCTTCTCAGTTAACATTTTCCTCAAGGATACCTGCTCGGTTCATGCTTATCAAGTTTGATTGAAACCACCTTTAGTTGTACCTCGATTATGAGTTATAAATGAATATGGGAACAGCTGATATTTCCCTCCCTTGCCACCTAATAAGGAAAGTTTGTCATTTATAACCTGTTAATTTAGGCATAATTAGCAAAAGGCATTAGACAGGAAGAGTCAGCTGCTTATGTTGTATGAATGTTGTGTAATTCTAATTCTAATATTACAGGCGTGTAAACAATTCCTATCTCATTTTTGTAAATCTCATTTCGGGCATGTTCCCGCATATAGCAAAAAAAATAAAAAAATAAAATATACTGTGTGTTATGAGAGAATTGGAGAAGAGAAGTTAGAACATCACCGGTTTTAGATTTAGAGACAGGCCGGGGGAACAAAGAAAGGGAAGAGCTCCATGCTTGGTGGATAGATGAAGGAAGAGCGAGCAGAAGGCAAATTAATCAAAAGGACATCAAAGGCAAATGGATGGAGGGATAGGGAGAAATGAAAGAGTGCCGCCCGTTTGTCCCATGCCGTTCCCGCTCTGCTCCGCCTGAGCCCTGCTCTCAGATCTCAGGGCCATTGTGCCGCACGGGTGCATGGAGGGGGCTGGGGGCACGATGCACACAACAAAACATACTAACAAATGTCTGAAAGTGGAGCCTGAAAAAGAAGAAAACGCCCTTTTTTTGTAGCTTGTCTAACTCAAACTCTGGCTTCTGTTTCTGAAAACTTGTCTTGGTGTCTCATCCTCAGCACCATCAAAAGAACATACCAGAGTTGGCTGCAGAAAGTTTGACTGAAACATAAACACACAGTCACACACTAACACATACTGCATGTTGTTGTCAGTGTGAACTCGGCTGTCCGAGCTGGCTTGTGGCAGCAGTGGACGGCTCTCTTTGATAATGCCCCGCTCGATTCAGCCGCCCGCTCTTTTTATCATTCAGCCAGTTAGTTGGCTCAAAGTTGACTCCAATTTGTACTCCTCCTTTGGATTCGTGGTCGGCACAGACTTCTTTCTGTGTCCATCTAGACTGCGACCCTGTCTGTTGCCTGTGAATGTACAGAACGTTTTGTTTTTACCCGTTTTATACATGGATCACTGTCTGCATTTTGACCATCCAGAGAAGAGTGTTATGCAAAAATAATTGGAATTAGTTCTTATTTTTTTGGCATTTTAGATAAGATAAGATGAGCTAAGATCAGTTCTCCACTCAGTGAGATCCAATTAAGAACTTTAAGGTGCTTTAACCTTTATTATAATAGGATTTCTGTCATTTATTTTGCACATTTAATATTTACGGAGATGTTACTGCTAAATCCGTGAATTGTAATCATGATAAGCTCTAGTAATCACACTTTACTTTAAGGATTAGACACATCAACTCATGTGATTTGTCAGTTTTGTTTGGAAAAAGTCCAGAAACAACCCTATAGATTAGCATTATTTAACTGGCATATCATACTTTTTTAATGTCATATCAAGGGAAAAGTTTCCTCTGAGTGTATGTCCGTTTAGTTCCAGCAGCTGAAGTGACAGGAGACATGCAACAAGTTGATAATTAAAGCACACGCTAAAACAATTAAAAGTTATGTTAAAATGATGATTTTCTTCCGGACTTTAAAAATACATCATGTTCATAAGCACTCTTTTTTACTGTATCTTTATGTAACAAAAGCAGAGTTCAGCAGAGAAAGACAAAAGTGATGTGAACTGACAATATTTTAATGGGGGGGATAAAAGACTGTAAGTGATCAATGGAGGCGGCAGCCAAGTGATGCCCAGGGGACGGCTTTGATGTGGGCATCCTCAGAGGGACGCCGTGGACAATGCCCTCTTTGAGAGGCATGGAGAATGGCAGACACTTCCCTCTCCCTCGCTCCTGCTCTCTCACACTCTGTCACTCGGCCTCCCTCGGCCTCCTGCTCGCTGCCTGCTCACGCTGCGGCGACTCTCCCGTTCGGACGCCCGTTGACGTCCCTCTCACTCCGCATTCCTGCGCTCCAGTGTCACATCAGCACATATCCTTATCTGCATAACTTTCTCCCTTCTTCCTCTCACATTAATTAATTCAAACAACACCCCCTTCCCCGCCGCCCAGCCAATCCTCTCTGCTTCCCCCCCTCCTTCCTCCCTAGCTGTATCTCTCTCTCTCCCTCCCTCTGTCTCCTTTCATAGAACCAAACCTCTTTGTAATGTCCAGCCTTGGCAAGTTGCACCCGATTTGCTGTCACAGTCTTAATGAATTCATCTGTTTGTGTATTGGCCATGGGAGCATTTCTCCCTCCTCCCTCCCTCTCCCTCTCTCTTCCCTATCCTCTTCCCCTCCCTCTTGCTGGTGTTCCCCTGGGGACTCTATATATACCAGGGACCACTCCAGGCATCTATTGTTCCTCTAAGTAAACTTACAGACAGATGCCCTGCACTACAGTGTGGGAGAGAGTCCAGAGAGTCAGGAGGAGGGAGACAGTTAGTGATTGCACAGAGCTGCCAGACAACACGGACCTGGAAGCGCCGCAGACCAGCCTCGTCTCCAGCACCTCTGCATCCCCTTCAGTCGTCCTGCGTGTCTCCTGCCCGTCTGCTTGCTGTCACTGTGGAGTGGAGGTCTGATGTTCTGACACCATGCCGCTGCTGGTATCGCTGCTGCTTATGGGGCTGGACTGCTTGCTGGGAGCCCCGACAGGTAGAGAGGTCTACAGGATGCCCCAGAGTGCACTCAAAGGTACATTATCTACACTTACAGTCATCTTTTCATCATGGCTGCAGTTATGGCAGTTTATGTCAAGAGTGGTCACAGCATTACCCATCAGTGACTTTATTAGAGAAATCTGACCTCAGCGTTTAAAGTTTTACAGACATCCTTAGAGATAGAGCGAACCTAATGAAAACTACGTCAGGTTATAAGCAGTGTCTGCATCAAAACAGCTGTGGAAAAAAATCATCATTTGTCAGTGAAACAGTTGTTTCACTGACAAATGATGATTTTTTTTTCTTCGATGTGACATTACTGGAATCCTGCAATCAAACACTGATAATGCTGTGATGCTTTGACTGTTATTATTGCTGACAAAACATCTGGTGCTACTTCTAACACCAGTAGTATAAGCCTAAATATAAGTATCATATACGTACCAGGTGCCATTTGATAGCTGGCACATATACCAAAAATCATCCTGTTGTTATGTATTTTTTGACCAGTGCCAGCATTTCTAGGGTTTCTACTGAAGTGTTTATGGAAGATCAGCCACCAAAGCAGCAATATAACGCACCACAATATGCCAGAACACACAATAAGATCAATGAGTTTCAGCACTGGCCCTCATAAATATTGTTGAAAGCAGCAGGCCTACAGAATATGAATTTTCTTTCTTGTTTCATTGGTTTGATTTACTGCAGAGTAACTTGTCAAATCCTGCAGTATAGCACTGTGTTGAGGGGCCTCTGGCCTTCTCTGGTTGAGGTGCCGAGTACAGCAGAGCCTTCATACAGGCGGCTTGTGATGGCAGTGTGTTTGGAGTGTTTAGAACAAGGGACTCTGGGTCCCAGCCGCCCCAGGGCTGCCAGCCCGTGCCCTTAGGGCCTGTCCCTGCCCACCAGCCTCTGCCCGCTCAGCCCTGGCCTTCTAATTAAGTCTTCAATCAGCATTGTTGTTGTTAGTGGCCTATCCTGTGATGTGGTGCGGCACAGAGGGGGGCTGCAGGGTCAGCGGCTCGATTGAAGTGTGTCTGTAGAAGCCTCACCAGCGCGCTGAGCGTGAGCTAGCTTCCCCTAAAATGCTGCCAATGAGCTCAAAGAGCAGCATGAGAAAAAAGGGGGCTACTCACACACATACCAGAAAGCTGCAGCAGCTCATGCTGATGCTCACATACACACATAGTGTTCCCACAGCAAATGACAAATCTTCCATGTAATGACCTCCCTCTAATCCTGTTGCCAAAATGTTCCCTTTAAAATTTCTTAACTCTGTCAGAATTCAGCAAATTTATGTAGATAAAGTCATAAAAAATGTATCCCGCTGCATTAGTTTAGTATGCGCTGCAGCTCAATCAAGCATTGTATTTTTAAGGGAGATCCAAATAAACAAGTGTTTTTTTGCACAAATTCCTTGAATTTGGTTGTTAAGAAATTGTGACTGAAATATCTACTGACCACTAACAAACTGTCATGGAGATATGATCTAAAATGTATGTTTACCTCCTCTGTACTGCGGTTTCTGTATACCGGCTTTGCTGATAAATCAGTCTCGCTGTTTGCTGTTGGTAGATTTAAAGTTTCTTTTCTCTTGCAGCTCTGTCTGATCGTGGCACTGTCGTTCTGGAAGCTGCCATGACTAGTGCCCTGTCCACTCTTGAGAGTGCATCATCTGAGAGGAGTCGGGCTGAAGCAGACTGTCGAGGTTGTGTCCCCTGTCTGTTTCAGAACTGTGGACAGCTGTCAGGTTCCTGCTGTAAGTACAACATTACTCCCACTGTCATTTCATTCTTGACCATCTTTGGCTAACATTGTATCAACACAAAATACTTTCTTAATATGTCCGTGACACTCAGACGTCTCCTTCTTGTCCAACAGCGTCTCCTTCTAGTGCCTTATCAGAGCCCAACTGTGATGTCATCAGTAAGGCCCAGAAGCTTCAAGGTGAAGCTGAGCGGAGCTGGGCTCTGAGTCAGGCCTGTGCATACTATCAGCGTCGCTGTCCACCTGGAGAACTGGACAGCGAGAGCTGCATCAGGATCATGGGTGAGAGCTGCAGCGCTCGTGTCCTCCAGTGCAGCCTGCTTAACACAATGCAGAACCTGGAACCGACCATGCAGACACATGCACAGGGTGAGGGGATACATGGTTTACTGAACAGTAGTGAAGCATTCATTCAGGTTATCCTCCCGCTTTCTGTCATGAATCATGAAGAGGCGTGAGGTTGATTAGCACAGCTCCAGTAGTCTGTTTGTCTACAAAAAGCCAGCTTGGCTGATTATTTTTTTTGCCTTTCTGCCCAGCAGCAGTGTGTGGTCAGAGGTCATCCACAGTGCAGAACATCACACAGCCTCGCTCCAGGATCGTGGGTGGCTCTCCTGCACCTCCAGGCAGCTGGCCCTGGCTGGTCAACCTGCAGTTAGATGGGGGCCTCATGTGTGGAGGGGTCCTGGTGGACAGCTCCTGGGTGGTCACTGCTGCACATTGTTTTACTGGGTAAGAGCGCGTGTGTCACTATTTTCTTTACAAGGACACACCTTTCTTTAGAAGCAACATGTTTGACTTGTTCTTTCCTCTTTCCTCCCCTTTGACCTCCGTAGCAGCCGCAGTGAGAGCTACTGGACAGCTGTAGTGGGCGAGTTTGACATCACCAAGACTGACCCAGATGAGCAGGTTCTTAAAGTGAACCGCATTATTCCGCATCCTAAGGTAAAAATAAAAAGATTAACCATCACAGCTCCAAACCAGATATACAACAGACGAGTCTTTTTAAGCATCAAGTTATTGTTCAATCCAGCAATTAATCAAACTCCCATCTTTCTGCAGTTTAACCCAAAGACATTTAACAACGATATAGCCCTGGTGGAGCTGACGTCCCCTGTGGTGCTGTCTGAACACGTCACCCCGGTGTGCCTCCCCTCTGGCATGGAGCCCCCCACTGGTAGCCCCTGTCTGGTGGCAGGCTGGGGGTCCCTCTATGAAAGTGAGTGGAAGATAAATTGCATGCACCTTCACCAGATCATAGCTGATGATGGTTTAGCAAACTATGAGTGCTTTTTTAAAATAAATATCCTAATATATCAATAACATGGCATGTATCTGTTTTTCCCCACAGACGGCCCATCTGCTGATGTGGTGATGGAGGCCAAGGTGCCCCTGCTGCCTCAGAGCACCTGCAAAAGCGCCCTTGGCAAAGAACTGGTCACCAACACTATGCTTTGTGCTGGCTATCTCTCTGGAGGCATCGACTCCTGTCAGGTGAGCAAAGCAGCATCAGTTTCTAGAGTCCTTGTTTTCAGATGTTTTAGAAATATAACATATACCCCTAACTCACTGTAGAAGATCATGAGACTCTCTCTGTTTCTGACACCCCAGAATCAAGTCATTTTCTGGAAAAAAAGAAAAGCTTTTTCAATCTTTTGGGAATTTTTTGTGTCACCTGTAGGGAGATTCTGGAGGCCCCCTAATCTACCAGGACCGAATTTCAGGTCGATTCCAGCTCTACGGCATCACCTCCTGGGGAGACGGCTGTGGAGAGAAAGGCAAGCCTGGAGTATACACGAGGGTGTCCGCCTTCTCTGACTGGATTCAAGCTGAGATACAGAGTGAGTTTCAAGCAACAATAAGACAAACTCAAATATTTTGTAAAGCTTTCTCTTATAAAGTAATTTGAAAATGATCATTCCCGACATTGCAGCATTTGTCAAAAATACTGAATCATCTCTGAAATCACCCATACGATCACTACTTCTCCTTTTTAGAGTCGTTTGGAAGCCGGGAGCCAACATGTCCAGAGCTTCTAAAGACAACTGAAATGACAGAGGAGGAGCAGAGGTCAGAGTTCAGCTCTCTCTGTCGCTTCTATACGCTGACCTGTCCTCCTGGTCAGTCTGCCAGTGCCTGCAGTCGAATGGCTGAGGAGAAATGCCTTACCCGCTTCAAGAAATGTCGTGAGTACTCTTCTTCAAAAACTCCACTTAATGGATGTAGAGCAAAACTTACATCTACTGTTTAGATATTTTGGAAGTTGATTTGAGGTTTGTTTTTTTTGGAGAGGTTTCTGATCTTTTGTTCACTCTCTGTCATTTAGAGTTACGCTCGTTCCTGCAGACTCTGTTGGACCTGCTCCAGAGGGCCGAGGACTACATCAGGGACAAAGTGGACCTAACTTTTTTCACCCAGACTCTGCCTCAGCTCGTGGAGCACATCTACAGCACGGCTTTCGCTCACACCAGAGAGAAGAGAGACGTGGACCAGAGCCACGGTCTCGCACAGATTAAAGGTACGTCACTGACAGGTTGTTCCATCTTCTGCTCGAGCTCTGTAATTAAAAACATTGTCTAGACCAGAATGCAATAGCTCGTGGATTCTGTTGTAAAAGGAGTTTTATTACTTGCAGAACAGCTAGGTGGAGCTGTGGTGCCAGCAGAGCAGAGTCCTTCTCCAGCTCCTCCAGCCTTGTTCAGAGATGTGGGACCCTTGGTGGATGACTGGGAGAAACACCTGAGAAACATTGCTGACGATATGGATAAACAACAAGCTGATGCATTCACAGACGTCTCTTCCACAGCAAAGAGGCAGGAGGACAACCTCTTCTTACAGGTAGATTGAGCGTGATGTTGCATTGTCTTACATTGTGTCAAGTTATGCCATGTTGAGAAAGTCTCAGTGAGTGTTTTAATGACCTTTATGAAATTTGTACTGCATACTTGTAATGATATCTACTTTTACTTGCTAACTTCAGTACTCACTGTTATCCCATCTCATTTGATACGCAATTTCTAAACACCTATGATGCGAATATAATGTCTAAACAAAATCATGTGGGACATCAGGTCACTTTTGATTTGGTGAGGCATCAGCAGATTGTTTTATTTGGGAGAGACAGGCTAGTAGGCTACAGTAGTTATGAAGGCGCTGTTCTCTTGTAGGAGTGTAGCTGGACTTGGCAGCTCATTACACTGTGGATTTTCTTTATCATTTATTATTGCCAGAATAAACAGAGATTCCCTAAAAGAGATCACACACTGCATCCTCTTCATAACAAGAGAACGCAGCAACCTCCCAGTTACACTCATGTTTGGTGCCAATACATTCGAAGTGCACCCCATTTTTGTGAACATAAAAAAAAGTTATGCACACCAGTGTAGCCTAAAGCTTGTGGTAACTGAAACAAATGCAGACACGATAATTAATTACGATACTTAAACATTATCGACCAGAGAAGCATAACCGTAAAAATGTATCACGCCTTATAAACTTTAGATGTTGGGTTTTTTGTTTATGTCCACTTTCGGCACAATTTAATTCTCATTTAGAGGGCTTCTCTTTGTTTTCATATGGATTTATTCCACCCTAACCTTAATATGCAACTGTGTTTTCACATTTGCAGACAGAGGACTCCTCGGTACAGCAGCTGGAGAGAGAATATCGATCTGTTATCTCCACTCTGCACTCTAAACTGGACTCCAGAGCTGCTCCTCCCATCCTGCACTTAGACACAGCCTACCTCCAGGAGGAGTCTCTCAAAAATCCATCTGTTCTTTCTTCTTCCACCGAAACACCAGTCCCCACTAATCCATCCTCCTCGTCTCATGAGCCTTGGTCACTTCTGACAGATTTGATAAAAGAAATGCAAAATTTGGGTACACAAGATGGGATGGTGGCAGCAGACGAATCCCAAAGTGAAGCCTCCCCCAGCAGAGACGATTCCATTGATATCAATTGGAGCCCCACCTCAGAGGATTTTACGTTTGTTGAGAGTGGAGAGTTAAAATCTTCCGCGTTACCACTCCCAGAACTGTCAACAACCGTCGTCCAGCCAGTCACCGAGAGTGTTCACACAGAAACTGCTGAGCCCAGACAGACTGTGCATGCCGGCAAGCCTTTAAGTCTTCACAGAAAATACAGGAGCCTTCTTCGCAAGAGGCAGATACCTGGTGCCAGTGGGAAAGGTATGAGCCACACCCTGTTCTCACAAAAGTTTAATTGAATAGCTCTACATTATAATCCCTGTAGTATCTGTTCATGGGTGGACGTTATTTCTCAAGTGAAACCTTTTTTTTTTTTCCCTGTAGTTTGTCCCGGAGTGAGAGAAACTTCACAGCAAGTCAACCAAGTCAGAGACTCTTACAGCTGGGTTTTAAACATCCCAAGCAAGAATTTACGTATGAACTTCCAAGAGGTAAAGAACTGAAAATTCTAGGGCAGCATGAAGTAAATGTGCTTTCAGTGTAATCATTTTATAACTTGGATTCTCATTTCTTAAGGTGTTAGTTGATCTGAGCTCCAAGAACGATCGAGGGCTTTACCAGGCTCGGGTCAGAGCTGTAGTCGGAGGACGACCTTTGACCTTCTACAGCCTGGTGGGCCTGGAGAATGAATCCTTCTACCGCAGCGTGCCGAGGATCATTGCTTTGGCACTGGAGGCCCTCAAGTCCTAACCTGTAGGACTGAGATAGAAACGAAAGAACTCCAATGAGAGACGAAGGCACAAAGTCTCTTAAAGTGGCCTGCCATGGAACTAAAAGAACTCTGTCCTCACAGAGAGATGCACATAAAGCGCACACTCACACAAACACTCCTCCTTCTGCATTATTTTTGTTTTCCCCATCAGAGAGACTTTGACTCTAAATGAAAACATGAATGTATCAATCCAGTCATGACCACCAGTCACACCACAGGCTGTTTTTTTGTTTTTTATGCGGTGGGAGACACAGCCTTGTCTAACTTATGAATCTGTACAAAATGATAAGTTATTCATACTGTCTTTTACAAAGGTTGAGCCTCTTGTGAAGCACACAGACTGTATATATTATTCGTGTTATCTTTATTCTTGCAATATTTATTTGTATAGAGAAAACTCTTTGTATTTTTGTAAAAAAAAAAAAAAAAAATCTATATATAAATAAAATTGTTATTGATGCACGTTGTGTTAAATGTAATGCAGTTATCTCGGACCTTTAAGGGGAGACATTCGACAGCAATGCTGCTAATCCTGCACTATTTTGTTGCCGTAGTTCTCGCTACACCCAAACATACTTTCACGACGACAGGTTCCAGCGCCGACTGACCCCTCTTCGTGACCCCACATTAACCTCCCACCCTTTACTGGTAAGCTTTACCATCAACACAGCAGCTGCCGCGTTGTGATGACTGGTACTTCCCTGTTTTCTCTCTTTATTTCCAGGATGAGGAATTGTAACTGGACCCGCAACTTCACTTGACCTTTTAGAGTCTCTTATTGTCTGGCATGAGTCTGAACATTGAGGAAATGACCCCCTTGGTCTTTGTGTAAACTTCATGTTCGTCTTGTTTTGAGTCTCAAACTGTTTGAGTGATGATTGGCTGAACAAGACTTCGCAATCAGTCTCATGCCTTCTAATCTGTGGCAGTTTTTATGCCAAGCTCAATTCCTACAAGAGGGATCTACAGAGGGTATGAGTGCAACAGCTGAGTAAACACACAGACGTACTCCTGTTGCAACACATCAACTCCTCCTTCAGACTTGTGTGTTGATGTGTGTGTGTGTGTGTGTGTGTGGTAAGTGTACCCTATTATGGCAGGAACAAGTATTTTTGTGACTCGCATGCAAGCGCACTCACAAAGTAATGAAAGGCCACAAATGTTGCCGACAACCTCCGTAGAGTCCGATCAGTCATCGCAGAGAGTGTGCTGGAAATGGACAAGAGCTGCCACCTGTTCTCTTGTATTATTTTTTTTTTTACACTCTCTGGGTTGTAGATCCACATAATGGTGCTGCAGCCTCCCTCTCTTTATCATCCAATCTTCTGTCTAATCCTTTAACCGTAAAGAACACATTTAACTATGACTTCTGATGGAAAAGTTGTTGCTTTTTATAGATCGCCGCCGTGCTAAATTTTGCCCTCAAAGAGTCCATGAGTTTATATATCCAACCTTAAATGACAATCACCAGGTGCACCAAGCTGAATTACAATACGACATGTGCAACACTGGAGGGCAGCCATGCACAGAGTACAATGCCCAAACTAAGTGGATGTCATGTTCCCTAAGTGTGTGCGTGTGCTGGTGTGTTGTGACAGCTGACTATGCCATACTGGAAATACACTTCTGGATTTAACTCTCACAATCATCAGCTCCAAACCACTCCTCTCAACCTCAGCCCTCCCATCAACCCCCGAGCCCTGACCCTCTGCTGAGAAACACACACATTCATAAACGCACACAGGCCGAGTGCCAGCAGCTCCATCCGCTAGTGTGCATGTGTGTCAGATTAGCCATCGCAGCTTTGTCTCAGACGCCTCTGCTCTGATGGATTCTGGACCTGTGCGCTCTCTGACACTCTTAGTAGGAGTGTTCATGGTTTCTGCCACAGGTAGGGATGCTGGTTAACCAACACCCTGTTGTCATGTTCGCTCCGAGGGGTTTGCATGGTGTGGGGGGAATTTGTTGAGTGTGGTTATCTTGGTTTTTTGGGGTTTTTTTGGTTCTTTCAACTGAAAATCTGCAAACATCCCTCAAATAGGCACCTAATTTACATATAAGCTCTGAATTTCTTTCACTGTTCACCAAACTGTTCAAAACATTGGACAGGTGCGGTGATGAACAGCTCTACTTTGATATTAAAAAAAAAAACCATACCTCATTATCAGACAGGGCAGACACAACATCAGACTTAACCTGTTGTGCTCATGCTGTTCATGTGTCATGTGTTCAGTCTGTAAATACGGAAAAATCTACAGAGGATTTCTTTCTTGTTATTAGTTTTATATTGTCTGTGGAGCCATCGTGTGTTTGCAGCGATGTTTACTACAAAAGATTTCAAAGTATTGTAATGCTAGACACCAACCAAACAATAGCAACAGTGACTCTGCCAAAGATGAAAACCATTTAGAAAAGTAATCCGCGTGCTTGCTGCTTCCAGTTTGTAGCTTTGCAGCGCACTCCATTTGTTCTAACTGTAGTTTTTTTGTTGCTTCCTGACTAGAGAAAGATTTTAAAGGTGATGGTTGTGACAGTGGGCGCTGAGATAGTCTGATTTAGTAGCTGAGCCAAACTCTGTCAGGATGCAACTCAAAAGCATCTTTAATCGGATGATCCTGCCTTTCTTAGGCCCGCCTTCTTTCCAACCTCACATTGACATTTTTAATGCAAGCTTTTTGTTAACAATGCTATACCACAAGCCCGAGCCAATGTTACCCTGCTGACATCACAATGACATTATCAGAGTATTTTCTCAAACTTCATGAAGCTTTTTCCAGAGCGCAGAAACACATGTTTTCTCAGAGTATTACTCCTTATGAAAAATCACCATTTGGTTTCTTTGAAGTGGGGTTATATGTGGTATTGATCCATAGTTGGTAATTTACAGTAGATGACGGTCGGCACGTCCCAAGTACAAACATGGAAACGAAGCAATGAGCTGCTGTAGACAGGGTCAGCAACAAAACAAATTTAAGTGACCTAATAAAAGGTCCTGCTTAAACAGCTGTATACGCTACATTTAGAATATTGTTTCCGAACCATCTTGACAGCCCTGTCTGGTGGGCTGAAGCTTTTATATTGTTTTCCCATTAAAGCCACCAGACTTTGCAACTGTATCATGGGCAGGAACAAGCATTTGTGCAACTGGCATTAGTTTGCATTGCCTGACTCTGGTGTTTCAGCATGTTAGGTTGGATGCAAACTAAAGCGTTAAAACATTAAAGTCTGGCGTTGCGACAACCTGGTCAGGTCAGCTGTCATCTGCTGCAGGTGATAAAGAGAAAAAACCCAAACTGTTTGATCATTAATCATTAACCCTTTGATCAAGTCATTTAACAGTGACTGCTTCAGTTGTTCATGTTTTTCTTGTTCTGTGCTTCGTCTGCAGCATCAGCGCTCAACCTCGAAGGAGAACTTTTCAAAGACTTGATGAAGGGCTACAACAAGAACGTTCGGCCCATGGAGAACAGCGGCGACATCACCCAGGTCTTCATCAAGATGACGCTCACCAACCTCATCTCTTTGGTGAGTGTAGCTCAGCTGTCTGATCAGTGCCAGCGGCTGCACGGGCCTTTGGGTTAACGATGTTCAACAAATTATCTCTCCTTAGAACGAGAAGGAGGAGGCCTTGACAACCAGCGTCTGGATAGAAATGGTAACTTTACACACGTCTCATCTCATTTGCTGGATATTTTTTGAATGTTAACTTGGTGTGTTTGGAAAAAAGTCAAACCCACTGCGTTTCTGTATGTAGCAATGGTGTGACTACAGGCTCAGATGGGACCAGCCGCCCAGGTCAGCTCTGTATGGAAACATTACCTCTGAGTTACGTGTCCCGTCCAAAAGCATCTGGCTGCCCGACGTCATACTGGAGAACAAGTAAGCGTGTCCAGCTTCACATGTGAATATATGCCGACACAACGTTTACTCAATCAGGAAGCCAGCGAATTTTGTTTTCGCTCTTTTCTTGTCTGATTTATTTGGTAAAATGATTACTTCAATTTATTTAAATGTGTTGTCAATTTAAAGCCGTGCATAAAGGCGAAATTTGCATCTGCCACAGCCACATAAAACCAATACATAAACAAATAAAATAATATGCGATTGTAGGAGGCAAGTTCAATATAGAATTACACAAACAAGATTTAAATTCATGTGGCGTCTAATGACTATCCTGTTAATTACCAAAATTGAAAGCTAAACATTACGGCATGTTTCCAAAAGCCCCTCCTCTAAGTCCTGTGCTAATGCCCTGTTTCCACAAATAGACACCAGCAGTAATTAGCTGGAGATAAACTTCAGGTCTGGAAAATCATAAGACACAATGCCGTTGAACTTCAGACAGCAGTTTGCAGTTTTAAAAAGTTGACACTGTTAGAAGAGATTTTTGTATTCTTAACACCCAACACGATGTGAGACAGATTTGGGAGCATTTTACATCTTCTGAAAGTTGTTTACAGGCAGAACTGTATCTGATCAAGGCAAAGCTGATCAGTGATCATACAGTGACTGGCAACAGACTGAATCTACAAATCCAAGCATATGAAACCTTCAACAGTCTCTCTCTTCTTTCTTCTGGTCATCAGTGTCGATGGACAATTTGAGGTTGCACTTTACTGCAATGCGCTTGTGTCTCCTAATGGCTGTGTCTACTGGCTGCCTCCTGCCATTTACCGCAGTGCCTGTGCCATCACGGTGAACTACTTTCCATTTGACTGGCAGAACTGCACCATGGTTTTCCGGTAAGTAGAGATGAGATTTGCTGGGATTCGATGATCTGTCTGCGAGCAGTACAAAACAACAAGCAAGTGTATCAAGAAAACGTCTTCATTTATCTCCAAAATGTAGTGTAATTTAGACAAATATCACTGTGTAAATATCTTAACATGTAGGTCTGTAGCTCTGAGGAGACAGAGCAGAAATCTAAAATATTACTAGATTTGACAGTACGTATCTAAAACATTAAATTCAGTTTAAAGTCCCTCTCTGGTCATTGATTAAACCCTTAAAAACTCTTCAAAAGTTACATATTTAGCATTTTTTCCCCCATGAAAACAATCCCTCCTGCTTTAAGCTGCCATAGAATGTGCAGATATATCAAGTTCCCGGCCTCTTTCTTTATGCACTCCTCCCCACTTGCTGCAGCTCGAGCACACCAGATCACCCACAACTCTGTTCAGACACTGTAAAACTATTCTGTGTCATCCACAGTAATTAAGTCATACATGCTCAAACCGAAAAGTGCTAATAAAGAAAGAAAGCAACACAAAAAGCCTGGCCCTGCAATTTACAGGATTGGTTATTTAGGTTTGTTACGTATGAAACCGCAAAAGTCTTAATCTGTGTTTTTGAGACTGTCATTGGTAGACTGCAATTGAAGGTGGAAATTATCAGCAATGGTGTGCCTACCAGTTGAAGACTACTTATGAGTACTTATCAAGCAGATAATAAAACACCATATTGGCATGTTAACAAGGTAAATAAATAAATAAAAATAAGGCGTTTCACCAAAGGGTGTCTTTAAATTCAATACAGCGCTTTGAAATAGAATGTATAAGAAAAAAAAAATGTAGTTAAGCTGTTTAAATAATGATTGGAAACAAGACCAGAAAATTCCATAGACTGTTGTTGGCTGTCAGTTTGAATTCTAAGCCAGGTTGGGTTCAACTGGGGATGTTTGGGCTCATGGCCCTTAGTTAATGTGTTTAAAAGTTAGATTTCTTTGGGTTAAATGGAATCTACTTTGTCCAAACCAAGAACAATCTCTTTCACCATGCTGTCTCGTAAAGGAGAATAGATGTTTGTGTTTGTTGTGTATACAGACCGTATGTCTTCTCCCTGTGTTCAGCTCCCAGACTTACAGTGCCAATGAGATCGAGCTGGTTCTTAAAGAGGAAGACAACCACACATTGGAGTGGGTGGATATCGACCCAGAGGCTTTTACCGGTATAGGACATTTGAAGAAAATATCTCGAATCATTGCACAGCATAAAAACATCTATAGGTTTTTTTCTGCAGTACAAGTTTTTCAACAGTTTGAACAGAATGAAAGACTTTGATGTTTTTCAGAGAATGGAGAGTGGGTCATCAAACACAGGCCAGCCAAGAAGGTGATCAACACTGAGTACACTAAAGATGAGCTGGAGTACCAGGAGGTGGTCTTCTTCCTCATCATCCAGAGAAAACCTCTCTTCTACATCATCAACATCATCGCTCCCTGTGTGCTCTTCTCCTCCCTCGGCCTGCTGGTCTACTACTTACCTGCCAAAGGTTCTTTTCCTCATATCTAAGACTATGATCTTGTGTCGTCAAACCTCTTTCTCATGAACTTCCAAATGCTTGAACCTTCACCATTTAGATTTCTTCAAGACTGTAACCTGTGAGCATGACAAGACAGAGATGATGACGATAAACTTGTTGAACCTTTAGCTAGTTTCTACTTAAGCCCCGAACTTCAGCCCTCTGACTGAATACTGGTTTGACTTCTACAGCCGGCGGTCAGAAGTGCACCATGTCTATCGCCACTCTTCTGGGCCAGACTGTGTTCATCTTCCTTATTGCAAAGAAGGTTCCAGAGACTTCAAAGGCAGTGCCTCTTATTGGAAAGTAAGTTTAAATACATCAGCCTTCAGTTCAGAGTTTCAGTTCAACTAGAGCTGATGAAAATGATGACATCGATGAACCTTTGACTGCAGGTATCTGATGTTTGTGATGTCAGTGACCACCATGGTGGTGATGAACTGTGTGATCGTCCTCAACGTCTCCCTGAGAACTCCAAACACTCACATAATGACTGACAAAGTCCGAAAGGTGAGAGCGTGTCCGGATCTTTGTTTGAGGATGTTTTAAAGCTGCTGTACAGTCAACACAAGTCTATTTGCCCAAGATTTCCCTTTTAACTCTGCGTCACCCTCAGATCCTCCTGAACATCCTGCCTCGGCTGCTGAGGATGCAGATGCAACCCTGGACGCCAAACAGTGACAGTACCTCAGAAGCTGGAAACGGTGAAACTCCTCCCACAGGCAGGAACGATGTGTTCCTGGTCCCCTGTCGACGTCGCAGCTCCATAACACTCATCAGCAAGGCAGAGGAATACTCAATGAAAACAGCTCGGTCGGAGCTCATGTTTTCCATACTCAGAGAGAGAAACGGATTGATGAAAACAGCGTTAGAGAAACTACGTAAGTATTGTGAGGAGTTTGTATGTTTAAGCGTGCTAGAAAGTGTGCCTCCCCTTTTGTAACCGCAGAAATAACTGATCTGATTTGCACTCAGATAATGGGCTGGAGGGTGGCACAGCTGAGCAGCTCAGTACCAGTCTAGTAAAGGCTTCTCCACAGCTGAGGCAGTGTGTGGCCTCCTGCAAACACATAGCAGAGACTGCACGACAACAGAACGACTTCCAGAATGTAAGTTTTTTATTTGATTCCCCCATTTTCAATTCAGTTCAATAGTTTGGTTTAAATCCAAAGATTTCTTGTGAGAAAGCCTTCAACAACACTAGGAAGAGGAACTCCCCTTTACCAGCAGCAAACCCATGGCAGAACCAGGCTCAGTGAGGGTGGCTGTCTACCTTGACCAGTTGGGGTCAGGGTATATATGGAGATAGTAAAGAATAGCTGATAGAAAACAGACAAAAACAACACACAAGACAATAATAAACACTTTGAAAGTTGGTGAAGCCAGTAACTGAAGGTCAGAAACCAGTAGCTATGCAGCCAGAGATACCTGCAGAGAGGACAAAACACAAAGTATGGGAAATGGCACAAAGCTAACAACATGCTATAGTGAAATGTATTTGTATGTATGGAAAGAAAAAGAGTAGAGGTGTTAAATGCATCATGAAAAGTCCTCCAGTAGTTTAGGCCTACAGCAGCATAACTAAGAGATGTTTAGGTTGACCTGTGCCAGCCCTAACTCTAGGAACCAGTGCTCTATTGGGATGATGTGGTACAAGAAGGCCTTTAGGATCCAATGGAGCTCAGTCATTAAGGGCTTTGTATAAAAAGAGAAAGATTGAGAGTTTGCTTTATTTAACAAAATAATATGTACATGTGACTTCTAGGCCAGTAAAATAAGCTGCATATAATACAACAAGTCCTAATCTGTCATTTTCAGGAGAATGAAGAGTGGTTCCTGGTTGCCCGGGTGATCGACAGGGTTTGCTTCATTGTCATGACGCTGGTGTTTTTCATCGGCACTATTGGAATCTTCCTGATGGGCCATTTCAACCAACCCCCCTCCTCACCTTTCCTCGGGGATCCAAAGAAGTATCTCCCTCCGTTAAGCAATCTTACTGCGTAGCTGAGAACTTCCTGGGGTGAAACCGAACAGAAACTGTTGGATTTCATCGTCATACGCCGGGTGGAAATCTGACGGCGTCTGTCAGTGAGCCGTCACCAATGACTGAGAAGACACAGCTGTATGCATTTTCTGCACTGATGCCAGTTGTGGGTTTGTGGACTATCACAGAGACAAAGTGCTTGCTCATGGTGATAAAGGATCCGCTGTGCAGTTGTGTGGATGCACACTAGCTGACTGTTGAGGTTGTAGTTTTGTCACATGTAGTGCTGTACAAGAAGGAGTTTCCAGTGTTTGCTGTAAATTGATTGTTTATTTCATATAAAATTCGAGGTCATCCTGACACTCTACATGGGACATGGTGTTGATCAAGTAATTTACACCCAGATGTTCCATATCGAAGCTTAAATCAATAAAAAGTGTAATCTTGTGACTTCTTCATAGGCTGTCTCAGAAATTCCTTAACCCTCCTGTGTTTGACAACATTCTTGAAGCCAATAGAGAACAGGGACAACCACCACCCCCCCAATCCAACCACCCAAACACAAACTTACCACACAGCCCCCCACCTCTGGAAGCAGGATTTCAATTACATGGCTGAGTGGTGCCTTTCTAGCCCAACAAAAGGCAGATCCGGCTGGTTGGGATGGAAACGGAGTCGGGGTGAGACAGAGCTGAAGTGAGATGTCCAGAAACACAGTCACAGAGCCAAACATTGCGACATGAAAAGTCCCAAAAATACACAAACAGGTAGTTAGGAGGATGGTGCTGAACACATCCTGATCCTTCTCACAGTTAGATGATCTGAGTCAGTGGACGCCTGGAGGTGGAACACTGATGGTAAGGAACAGACTTTTGATGCTCCATTGGGCTGTTTTCTCTCTTTTATGTCAAATATGTGACAGTAAACTCTGCAGGAAGATTTTAGCCAGCTTTGCTACTCTTTTAGTTATCACTGTGTTACATCAGAATGACGGTTTGGTGCTGTAGACTGGGACCCAGCTGTCTGTGTGTGATGTGAATAAAAACGAGGCTCGGGTCGGCTGCTATGACGAGGAGGATGTTTATACTGCTACCAGGGAACTGCACTGAGACGGCGGGAAGAAACACAGGGTGGCAGGTTGTTTTTCTTAAACTTTACATGACAAATTCAAGAGTTAGCTGATGATTTTAAAAGGTAAGTCTTCCTTTTGTAAAGCAAAGTAGGTGTTTGTATTCTAGGGACTCCTTGGAGCTTCAGTAATAAGCAACTAAACTTTTCTTTTAGGCTTGTGGAGACATTTCCCCCCTTATCCAAGAGGTGTCTTCAGTTCACTCTTGGATGAAAAGCGAAACAAGCTAAAATCCATTTGCTTTTACCATGACCTGGATGGTTGAGAATCTATATATCTATTCTAGAGATTTATTTGATTTCTAGGAATAAAGCTCCAGTTGTGCTTTTAACTATCCAGTCAGGCAGTTCACGAACACAAGGGGTCACAGAATTAATACAATGACTTCCATTTTTTCAATTTTTGAAGTAAAATTCAGCTGATTTTTAGGACTTTCCTCTGATCATTTCTAGTGATCCACTCTCACTGGAGTTCTCACCAAGTTCATGAATGAAAAGTCTCTAAATTGTGTAGTTTTCCCACTTGATGCACTTATATAAACTGCTTGCAGCTAATAGACTGTGATGTTTTCAGCTTAACACCATGTCGGCAGTGACCAATCAGCCTCGTCCATTTGGTCAACTTGAGCGGGAGAAGCACATCCAGATGATCTTCAGAGCTTTTCAGAACCGCTGTGCGCCTTCCTGTGAGTGCCATATTCACTCACCTGGACCCAAATCCCACCAAAAGCCTCCTGACTCGGAATCTGTGGAGCAGCTGCCGGGTCTGATTGAGAACGGCTTCGTGCAGCCGCCAGGGAAACTGAGAAGTCCAGAGGTGGACGAGCAGATGCATGGAGGGGCAGCGGGGTCGTATTTTATGTCTGTGCTGGAAACAGTCAGTCAGATTCATATCAGCGCCAAACCAGAGCTGCAAGGTGAGAATAGGAGGGATTACTTTTGCGTATTTGTGGTTCTGTGTGTAAAAAGGGGGATACTGGCATTGCATAGATTGGTCTGCTCTGCTTCCTGTCTCCAGGTCCACAGTGTGTTTCCAGGAGGATCTACAGCATGGCCACAGCAGGCACCAGGTCGCAGCTGTTTGTGGCCGTGGAAGGTACATTCCTCACATCTGCATCTTGTAGAGAAAGAGTAAATGATGATGTTCTCATCGTTTCTTCCGTTCCGTCAGAGAGTTCTTGCGTGTGCCTCCAGTGCTGCGGTCCAGCTCGAGCCTGCTCCTTGAAGGGCTTCGACTGTCAGGGCCGCCAGGTCTTTTATTTTGAAAGGCCCCTCAGGGTGGACGCATGCTGCCTTGGTTGCTGCCTGATGGAGATGAGAGCCTACTCGCCTCAAAAACATCTCATTGGCACCGTTTACCAGAGGTGAGCAAATCTGAGCATGCTGCTGTTGTTCTTGTCCTAATACTATTCTTCAGCGGTAGTTTCTCTTTCACATGGGACATTTCTTTCTGTGCTGTTTGTGTCTGTCTCTTCTCAATGGTCTGAAGTTGGCAGATCTGCATATGGGCATTGCATCGATTATAATTTATTTACATTTGAATTATATTCTGATCAGAGTTGTGGGTTGTTTTGCAGGGCACTCTAAATCAAATCTGATCAAACCACACTTACACGAAGCTCGGTTTGCTGCTTGGTCATGAATACTAATGTCATAGAGACACACTGAAAATTAAAAACAAGTATTATAAGGCCTTTTAAGGCTCTGTCAAGTGTAGCACAACATGTAGTGATACATGTCTTTACAAACAGAGCGTTTTACTAATTAAAGGTCTTTGATGAATGGGTTTGTTTCCCTAAATTACAATGTATACATCTTTTCTCTCTCACACACCTCACAGTGCTATTTTGGCATGTGAGGTGCATGAAATTTAGTTTTTTGGGTAATCAGGATCCTGCACCAGCAATTGTATAACTTGACATTCTCAGACTGAACAATGTGTCATGTAAGCCTTTTTCCGTATCGCTCCCAGCCTCTGGCCACCCTAGATGCCCAGACCTGTCTGTAAATAGCAGCCAGGGTGTAGTCTAAACCTGGGAGAGTTAATGCACAAAACAGCTGCCTGCACAGGGACACACCGACAGAGCCACGCTGGGCTCGGAGGGAAGGAATGCGGCATCCTTCCTAATGGCAACGCTGGCTAATGGGAGGAATGGCAGCACCCGGTGTTCTGCAGTCAAACCAAAATACCTCCTTCTTCATCTGGCCTAAATCTGTGTCCAGGGTTACCCGGGGGTGCCTTTGTGTGTCGAATTTAGAGTTTTCCAGAAGCAACACTCAATGAAGTTATGTCCAATTAGGACTGATCTGGCAGAGGTTTCAGTGACCAGAGATCGACTTGGTATAAATATTCTCTCAGTTGTGTTGGAATAAAGCATGCCCCAGTTTGAACTCTTCTGACACCGAGCAAACAATGGTTTTGGTGCTGCAGAATCATGACAGCTGAAAATGTGGTCAACCAAGCATCATGACCGGTCTTTGCCTCTGTGTGAAGTGCAGGCCAGTGTATCTGCCAGGTTGTTTATTGCACGCTTATGTAAGGAAGTGTGTTAAGTTGCCATGTTATTGTTGGCCGACTGTGTTTTCAGGTGGAGCATGTTCACCCCTCTCCTGGAGGTGTGTGACTCAGAAGGATCTTCCACAGTCAGGATCCAGGGCTCCTGCTGTCCAAGCCGGTGCTTCTCCAACCAGCAATTCCAGGTAGTCATATTTATCAAACCCATTATAAATGTGCATGAAAGTATGGATGAGGGCTGCAAGGTGGCGCAGTTGGTAGCACTGTTGCCTCGCAGCAAGAAGGTCGCCGATTGAAGTTTGCATGTTCTTCCCGTGCAGCGTGGGTTCTCTCCCGGTTCTACGGCTTCCTCCCACAAGACCAAAAACATGTTGAGGTTAATTGGTGATTCTAAATTGTCCGTAGGCGTGAATGTGAGTGTGCTTGGTTGTCTGTCTCTAAGTGTGGCCCTGCGATAGACTGGTGACCTGTCCAGGGTGTCCCCTACCTTCGCCCTAAGTCGACTGGGATGGGCTCCAGCACCCCTCGACCCTAGTGAGGATTAAGAGGTGTATAGATAATGGCTGGATGGATGGATGGATATGTACATGTGCGGCAGTGTTTTCATCTGAATTTAACGTATACAACAGATTGTCTCCAACATTGGCGAGAAAATAGGCACGATATGGAAGAAGTGGCCCGGCTTCAATGACGAACGAAACATGGACCATGAATATTTTGGATTGGACGGTGAGTTCAATCTTTTATTTCCAAATTCTCATGAAGTAGTTGGTAAAAAATTATCCATCGTGTCCTCCCGTGGAAACCAACAGAAGCTGAAGCAAGTTAAATGTTATTAAATAGCCTGATCAAGAACATTAGGGGCTGCACGCATCGTCATTTCACCACATGCTACTCATAGACTCTCCTGTGACACGGACAGAAAAGACACTCAACACAAAAGTGGGCTTCTACATTACCAGCTTCATCCCTGTGTGTCCATCTGTCCATTTCATTTTACTTTTTTATTTCTTTAACATTCATTTTTCACAGCAGACATTTTAACTTGAAAGATCGAGCTGTTAATATCGACAAGAGCTCTTTTCCAGCTGTTGGTGCAAAGAAACAAAAATTGACAAGTGACAATGTTCACTATGTGCCTCCCAGTTAGCGTAGTCACTGCTGTGATGTAATTACTATTAGCAACGCCAGCCTTTTGGGAAATACACAAGATTTAAACAGTTATTTTCAAACATTTCATTTGTGGATCTATTTCCATCTTTTAGTGCCACTGAGTATGGAATCACACACCAAACTCCTGCTTCTGGCAGCCACGTTTTTACTGGTAAGCATCTGAAGTTTTCTTACTGTCTTGTAGGAGGACATGTTGTTGTGGTACAGTATAATCAGTGCGTAAGTAAAGGTACAGGTACCACAATGTGAAGAACTTCAAATAATATCTTGCACTGTAAATAGTGGTCGTATCAGGTCCAGAGTTATGCTATAATACGTTACATTATCATTTTTCATGACTTCACTTGGATTGAACCTTTTAGAGTTGCTTTAATCAGAACTAATTGAAGTATTTGTGTTTGTCTAATGCATTATGTTTTCAAATCCAAACGGAAAAACATATTTTTACTCGCTGGCATTTCTGGTTTGGATCCGATTTTACTGTTGTCTGAGTATAAAGTACTTATAACTACTGCTCTAATTTGAACCCAACTCAAATTAAAGCCGCAAGCGGCGATGGACGGGTCCTC